AGGTCCAGGCTGCACGATCCTAGTGTGGCCAGGTCGCTGTACCAGCATGGTAATGGTCCAACAATGAAAACTAGAGAAGCTTGTTCTCTGTCCGCAGCCAAAAGAAAGTATGAGTTAAAACGGAGGCGCGTTTGTGTGACATGAACACCTGACCACTCGAGCTTCATACAGCTACTATGTGCTGATGCCTTATCAATGCAATACAATCTAGTAATCATGTGTGATCGTCATGTGCTGTCTGTGGTCGCGGCGGACCAAGGTTAAGAAACCTTGGCCCCCTTGGCCTCCCCATTGTTCGCTTCAAGAGAAGCGAACAATGGGGAGGTGTGTCTAGTTATTTACTGCTACTGTAACCGGTAAAATTAACATGCTATTCGCAAGCTGGGTATCGGGATCTTACTCTGGATACCCACACCTGAGACCTGTGCCATCTACTGAACTCCACTTTACAAAGTATTTGTCTCCTTCCCTGCGTTTCCCCTTACGATGTCCGCATGGGTTTATACCAACTCCGGCTGTTAAAACGGCTTGCTCCCAAATTTTGCATACTTGCGCTAGGGTTCACACACACATGCCGAAATGCTATTAAAATCTTTCCATGGGCATACCCATCTTGTTGTTCCCTTCAACCCACATTTCCCAAAAACTTTACTCCCACCCCTTTGAAGTTACCCCAAGAGCCAAACGCATAGTATGGCAAGTACGGTGATCCGCATTTGTTGTGTCTTTGCTGCTGCTGCTGTGTGTGTTTGGGGGGAGTAGGAGCGGAAATTGAGCGAGACGGAAGGTCGAGCAATTTATCTGCGGAACTGCGTGAGGATCGAAGGGACGGTTTTCAGTGAACACGAAGCCCTGACTATTAACCCCAGCTGCTATTGTGTTAGGATGAAACGCAAATTAAAATCTGGGGAAAGACAGAAGCAGAAACAGCAGAAGCAAAAACACTTGCATCAGAAAGTACAGTAAATGCTGGTTGGACAAGTTACCACGCCTGATGCTGTCAGTTCAGAGGCAACAGATGAAATGTGAAACGACCCGTTTAGTCGTGGCTAAATGAACAAGGAGTCTTTGTTACTGGTGCTATTAATTACTGGGACCTAAACAAAGGCATCGGCAGTACGCCGGAATGCAGTTCCGACGCTTCGCTGCCGCGCAACCACCACCGGTCTCACTTGGTCAATGGATACTGCAAGGGTCGCCCTGCCACTACGCAGGCTGGAATCCGTGCCGTCAGATTACTTGACAATCTCGTTACCTTTAGGCCGGCACTGGGACTTATGGGGCTAAGAAACAACTACAGTGGTCCCCGCGTCCAAAATGATAAGCAGTTAACCAGGTCTGACGATGATTCTCCTCGTTCGTATGGCAGAATGCATTCTTCACTACCAACCGTAGTATGCCGAAGTAACGAAGTAGAGTTGGGTGCTAACTACAGAAAAGCGACTTTCGACCCAGTTGATGAACATCACTACATAGCGACCGCAAGGCTACCAAGACACACAGCATAGCAACCACGCGTTTTGGGATGGAACTTTACTGTAATAAGAAAACAGATCCAAGCGACAACATAACTGGCCTATCGATAAACAACTAAAGGAAAGAACGGGCGCATTTCTAGCCCAAAAACTGGACTTACCAGACTACAGTGCTCGGTTGTGCATTGGAATGGTCCACAGAATGCGGAAAATGTACCGACTGCAATCGTATTCCAACTGGTGGGAGCGCAGGTGTCCCACTAACCCATTGCTCTGCCACGGAGTCCATCGAGGAAAGGCCAACGTATTGTTGATAGATTCTCTTGCCGAAGAAAGTACCCGCGAGACACTGAGAAATGAGCTGTCGGCGCCGTTTGCTTTCTGGTGCGTGTTTTACCCGCTCCAAATACATCGGATGAAAGACACGCGCAGCGGATGAATGTTGCTCCAAGGACATGTGATCCATTCCTTTCATTTGAAGATAAGCCCCGGGTGGGAAAGACTGGTGTGAGCTGATCCGGTGATCCAACCGAACAGTTACAAGCTGATGTGGCGAAGATGAATAAAATTTGGTTATGTGTAATTGAAATAGCTGTGGATGGTCTGGATGTAAGTGACTCCTTGCTGCTTACTTTTAAACATAGGCATAAACTGAAAAGATTCCGTTTGTTGGAATGCCAAAGACCCAACGCGCTATGTCATCGGAATACTACACGTCCCTTCAAAATGGGCGAAGGTAATATTGGTTGCCCCCCCCCGGGCAACCAGGCTTCGAACGGATGGAACTGAACACACAGGTTTCAAATATACCCATGTCGGTGAATAAGATACTGCCGATTTGTTCTTTATCCGTTTTTGCCATGGTTCCTATCTATGCTGGTGGTACCTGGAACCGGTCTCCATAGGAGCAGTTGGCGTTGTTTTCAAATACCACTCAACCCGCTGCTACTACAATAGCATATCCATGTATGAACTCAGATCAACGAGCCGTGTACACTGTTTGACTTTCGCCAAGTACACATCGTCCACCGTACGCCCTGCACTAAGGAACACTTTCGCTCTGCTCTGCTGTGTTACCAGAAAGAATTCACCTCTCTCTCTCTCTCTCACCGTTTCTCATCCCAGTAACAAAATCTAGGACGTTGTGTATATTGTAATTTATTCCTTTTTCAATCACTTAATCCGTGTGTTTGTGCAGTCCCGCCCTTATTTCGCATACCTGTTTTCATTTCCGTGGCGATATTAACAGCTGAAACCACCGAGTATCAGAATTCGGCTAACGCGTAAGTAGTTGGGGGTGACCTACGGCTTATACACCTGGGATCGTCCGACAACTGAAAATAACTGTTCTGTTGTAGTAACAAACACCGCAATCAGAATGATTATGACAAAACGCTTATGCCAGACCTAACAAATTTCATTCCTAAACCACTCAGACTATCTAGAACAACGACGGCAAAGGAAGCAAGCATCACCTTCACAGAGATGCGGGAAGCAGGACAGAGAGCTGCACGACAGCCTCTTGGGAAATTTACCGTGTTGTGATCACCGACTTTTTGCATACATGTTGCGAACCATACCTCAAAGATCGTACCCAAAATCTGGTGTGAATAACGGAAGCACCTTGATCCATCGGCTCTTCCTAACGCACATCATTGGTATAATACTATATAACACTACACATGCTTGCGGACGATATACTACGTACGTCGATCCCCGACGCTTGAGTGGCACTCCGAGCGTAATTCGCAAGCTTATTGGCAGTGTGTTACGTTCCTCGATGACATAGAATGGTTAGTTCAGCCAAACCGCGATCGCAATGGCTGGTCTCGCAATCAATACTTCTTTGTGGCAGACTTTAGATCGTGCGTCATGTGATCCATGGGCGCCGTTTTCGTACCGATATACTGTAGTACAGTTGGAACCGAAATGTATTGTTTGAATTGACCGCAATTACTAATGTAGCCTTTGCTTGTTTTACAGGGCTTGGAGGACCGGATGCACAATCAAAAGCCAAGCCCCATAACCTATTCCTTGTAAACTCGTTGTTTATATACTTACTTGCCGTGTACCACGCTCTTCGCATGCCGCGCTGTTGAGTACATCTGCTTCGGTCCCGCTCGCTCGTTCTCGTATCCGACTCATTAGAACATCGTCGTCCTGCATGCTTATCGTTTCGTACGAATTACTGCGTTAGTTACTCGGTTGCTGATTCTCACGTGCCGTTCGTTTGTAGCCGGGACTACTCGTCCGTGTCTCGAATCTGCCATGCGAAACATATTACAAATTGGCGTCGCGGGCAGTTCTACAAGTATGAGCAAAGGTGAGTTCAGCCCAACGAAGGTTGTGTGTTGTGTCTGAGACAAGTTTGTAGATTCAATCCCGCGGTTGCCAACCGCGTGTTTTCAGCCCCCGGTGATAACTTTGAAAACTGGTACTTTCAAGTCACTGGGTACCACACTGCAGCGCCAGAAAAGTCATGCGGCTCAATCATCCTAAGTTTCTTAAGCTATGAAACGTTACAGACTTTCCTAACAACCAGCGTACCTGTTAATTCACCTGTGGGAAAGATCTGGTCCACTCTCCGAAATTTGTTTTCCAAAAGCCACCCCGTTGCATACTACCGTGACACATTCTTCGCTCGGCATCAGCTACCCTCGGAGAACGCAGATGCCTTTCTCCCAGCTCTCCAAATATTGGCTCACAAAGGGTTTCCAGATCTTCAGTACGCAGATCAGAAGAAGTGGGAGGTTCGCGATGGGCCTAAGCGACCAATACCTCCGTAACAAATATACGTTAAAAGTTCCTCGTTCACTGGAGGAGGTTCTGGAAAAGGCCAGGAATCGGGAATTTTTGGATCATGTCAAAACCAACCGAAGCCATCTTGGTCACGATAACTGTTCGGTTTTACGTCCATCGAACGACGTTCTCGCAGCTGATTACAGGCACCATTCCTCCGCACGAAAATCCCCCGTGGAGAGCTGCGTATATTGTCAGCGTTTCGGCAGACGTGACCAGCGCTGTGGCCACAACCCACCTATTGTTTTTCGAAAACCCCGAGATAGGTCCGCTGTGCACAATGGTCAGTTTTTGGCACCTACTTTCCCTAGCAATCTACACTGTAAACCATTGACGATACCTGGGTGTTTAGATGTCATAAGCGTGCATTTCTGATTGCTACTGGTGCTTAGTGCTCTCTACTTCGTCTTGATATCGCCCACAGCCTTAGGAAAGTCCACACGGTCACCAGCCAGCTGCCTCGTGTTATCACCGCCAACGAGGTCGAGTTGCGAACAGCGTTAACACTACCTACATGCGGAAAACTTGAGGGGGTGGTAGCCACTCATAACTTTATAGCTTGTCGAAATTTAACGTGGGACGCTATTTTGGGAATGGATTCCATCACCCGACATGGTTGTACAGTTGCACTTGGATGCGGGACCGTATTGATGAGTCCTGCGCCAACTGTCATTGATCATCAACAGGACGGTCGAGGAGCGGTCACTATCAATTCACGTCTTCAGTAACGTCGCATTTCCAAAAGGAGCTTAGTGAGCCAGTTATTGAACGCGCTAACGTTACCACAGACAACACTGAGCAGTTAATCTCAGTACTAACAGAGTTTGAGGTGTTTTCCGCAGATGGTTCTCCCGGCCGTACGAACCTAGTTGAACACGAGATTGACACTATGTCCCATCGACCTATTCGTCAACATGCGCACAGGTTGCCGGTTCATTATGAACCGCAGTTAGAGTCAAACGTATCGTTCGACCTTCGTCGTCACCGTGGGCGTCGTCAATCCTTCTAGTGAAGAAAAAAGACGGGACCTTGCGGCCTTGTGTTGATTATCGAAACCTTAACGAGGTAACATGTAAAGATTCATTTCTACTGCCCAGTATTGATGCCACATTCGGTGCACTCCATGATTCATGCTGGTTCTCTACGTTGGATCTTGCGTGGGATTACCGGCAAGTAGAAGTAAGACCCAAGGACCGTGAGAAAACGGCGTTCAGTTTTCCTAACGGTCTATATGAATTTGAAACGATGCCTTCTGGTCTGGTTAATGCTCCGGCTACGTTTCAGAGACAAATGCAGAAAGGCCTGGATGGTCTGACACCTGGTAGCTTCTTAATTTATTTGGAGGATATAATCGTTTATGGGCGATCGATTGAGGAGTATAACCGGCTCCTGGATCGGCTGCGCGTGACGGGTTTGAAAATACGGGATCAAAATGTCACTTTCTTCTGCGTGAAGTTAAGTACTTGGGGCACATTATCTCCCATGAAGAAATGAGGACCGACACCGCCAAATGTGAAAATATTACGTCCTGGCCACAACCTAAAACGACAGCAGAACTCAGGAGCTTCTTAGGATTGGCATCGTACTATCGACGGTTTAGTTTAATTTTGCAGCCATCTCAGCTCCCTTACCTCGTTTAACTGAGAAGGGACGAAAATTCTGCTGGACTAACGAATGTCAGAATGCTTTTGCAGAGTTGAAAGTTCATCTTACGACAACCCCAACCTTGGCTCTCCCTGACACCACACCAGAGTCGGGAGATCTTGGGTTGGATACAGATGCGAGCAATGAAGCGATCGGCGCTGTTTTATCCTGGAGAACTCCGGCGGGCGAAGTTGTGATCTCCCGCGCTAGTCACCGCTTAGACAAACGCGAGAGGAAGTACAGCACCACTCGAGGGGAACTACTGGCGCTGGTTAGCATTTCGAGGCATTTTAGACCGTACCTACTTGGAAAGTCATTTCAGGTTTGCACTGTTCACCAATCACTTCAGTGGTTAAAAGTTTCGTGTGCCGGAGGGTTAGATAGCAAGATGGCAGGAACAGCTTCAAGAATACGCTTTTACCTGCGAATATTGTCCCGGGACACGAAACTCTAAGGCAGACGCGCTGTCAAGGCTAGTGAGATCCGAACAGGTCAGTTCGGCTTTCGTAACCCCAGAGACCGGTATTGCGTGGGCCGAAGAGCAAGCATGTGACCCGTACATAGCTAACACCTACAACCGACAGCTGAATGGCTCCTCGAAACCCACTGGAACTGAACTTCGTGAACGTACCACAGAAGAGCGCTCCCTAATCGGGCACTGGAAGGACTTGAGGATCATCGACGGTGTTCTGTGTCGCGTTGATAAATCCGGTCCGAAACTGATTACTCCGATGACCCGATCACTTGGAATACTACAGAAAGTTCATCAACAAATGGGCCACATCGGTCAGTTGAAAACGGAGGTTGCAGTTCGTTAACGGTACTGGTGGCCAGGCATCCACGCCGATGTAGTACAATTCCATGCGTCATGTGAGCTCTGTGCTAGTTTGAAATCAATGGTGAATGTCCCTCGTGCTCCCTTGGAACCAATAGTTACTTTAGCACCAGGGCCCCGAATTTGAGTAGATACCATTGGTTCTTTGCCGATAACAAAGAGCGGGAACTGCTTTATACTAGTTATGCTAGATTACTTCATGAAGTGGTGCGAGGCAATACCTATCAGATGTCAAAATGCATCCACTGCCGCTTCCACCATCGTCAACGAGTGGGTGGCTCGTTACGGCGAACCCATATCCTTGCGCTTCGATCAGGGCGCGGTTTTTGAGTCATCTAATGCAAGAAATGTGCCGCTTGCTAGCCATTAAAAGACACGTACTACACCGTATCATGCACAAGGAAATGGGTTCGTTGAGAGGACCAACAGGACTATCAGGGCTATGCTACAGAGCTTCTTTGAACACCATCAGTCTAATCAGTGGGACGAAGCATTGTCACAATGTAAACTGGCCTATAGAGTCTCGGTGCACTTTACAACCGGCTATTCTCCAGCTTACCTTACTCTCAGCCGTGAGGTTCGCTTACCTCTGGAATTACTATCGCCTGTCTGTCCGGTTGAAGATTACTCCATCTCGGAATACGTCCGCGATATCCGTGAAGCACTCCGAGTAGCCCTTCAAAGCGTGCAGGAGCACATGAACAGAGCGCAGCACCGCCAAAAGGAGTATTATGATCGCCAAACTCGAAGCCCTGAATACCGAAAAGGTGACCGTGTGTGGCTACACCGACCAAGACCTCCAGTTGCCGCACCAGGAAAATTCCATCGGGAATGGCAGGGGCCATATGAGATTGTGTTCGTACGCTCGACTACTGTGTGTGTATTTCGAAAAGTTACAGATCCAAACGCCGACGTACTGACCGTTCATTACAACCAACTGAAACCGATGACACCGTCTTCAAGTTCTACGCCCGGAGATGGCATCGTGCCACCCGGTTGTCTCCCGATAGTCGAACACACCGTAGAAGTGCCAGCTGAGGGGGGCTTCGCTGTGGTTCCAGATATGCTGGCACTGGGGACAGTGCCTCAATTAGAAGGGGTGACAATGTAGTACAGTTGAAACGGAAATGTATTGTTTAAACTGGCCGCCTTTACTAATGTCTTCTTTGCTTGTTTTACAGGGCTTGGCGGACCGAACGCACAATGAATGAAGGGAATCAAAAGCCAAGCCCCATTACCTGTTCCTTGTAAACTCGTTGTTTATATACTTACTTGCCGTGTACCACGCTCTTCGCATGCCGCGCTGTTGAATACATCTGCTTCGGTCCCGCTCGCTCGTTCTCGTATCCGACTCATTAGAGCATCGTCGTCCTGCATGCTTATCGTTTCGTACGAATTACTGCGTTAGTTACTCGGTCGCTGATTCTCGCGTGACGTTCGTTTGTAGCCGAGACTTCTCGTCCGTGTCTCGAAGCTGCCATCCGGAACATACCACTATACTGCTGCGTACTGTGTCTTGTTCTGTTTGGCGACGGTCGGGGGTGTGCTGTGCTTGACTTCGTTGCTACGTAATGCAGTGGGATCGTGGTGAACAGATCGGCAAATTTCTTTGTCAGCGGACAAATGTATTTTATTTAGTTATGAATGTAAGATTGTTCCAAACGCTTTTTATCCCGTACCATATGATAATAACATACATGACTTAAAAGGTCACTACCCTAACACTCTGGATACACGTGAGTAAGTTAATTTCAAAATACACAGAGGGTAAGTGCCCAATCCAATTGCAAATCAATCGCGATGCACGATTCCAAAATGCACTTGTTTATAAGTTTGGATTCTTTCTGTGCTAGAATACTGCCCGATTATACCCATAAAGAGCAGAAAAGGTAATTTAAGTTGCCTAGAGAATGTACAGCGCTCATTCATTAAGACGCTTTTCAACTAGCACTCAGACTAAACTGCACCAAATGTTGCTAGCTGCTAAACTTAGAGCCATTACGATTGAGAAGTGTGAAAGTTTGCTCACAGTTCGTGTCTGAGTTGCTCTATAAATGCATTCGCACTTAAAATTATCATTCACTACGAACAGGTAGGTATGTGCAACTAGGAATTCTGGGTATCCGATTCCAATCTACAACGCAATGGCTACAGTCTGCGAAAATTCGACTTGAACGGATACATTTAGGGTAGGGGATTTAAGATGCAATTAACTGACAGTTCGTCACAGCAACGGTTGTAAATGGATACATCGAAACATGGAACCGCGTTTTTGTTGGCAGAGCGGATATCAAACGGAATTCATGAAAAGGTAAGTTTCAAACACCTGAAATGCAATACGTCAACATATTGCTCCCAAGATATTATAGTGTAAGAATGCAATTTGTGGAAGGCGCCTGAGGCAAATATGTTGAACCAGAGTAGGCAAGCGAAATCGTACATTCAGTGTCTTTACTTTGCAAGGTCATCCTAAGGTAGTGCACTTAAGAACGTGAGAGGTTGACGGAAACTAATCGTTAGGTCTTGGACTACCTGCCGTGTGCCTAGATTGTGACACGCAATCTCAATTGAGGCCACAGTTTATTTTTGAAGCAAACCTGTTCCCTATCGACCAAATCTGAAGTGGCGAGCCTCGGAGCTGATCTCTCCCAACACTGCACTCCAGGACCAACCAGCTTCTTACCGATTCGAACTCTTCGGATCTATACGCCTGAGCTGGGAGGGAACCCGACCCATAGTCGTCGACGATCACGTGGCGGGGTTCCATTCTCAGCTCAGGCTATCTCTACTTCTGTCGTGTAACGCCCTCCGAGAATCAAAAACGGAGACTGAGCTGTGGTCAGAATCTATTTTGGTCGGAAGGCAACATGTTATTTGTATGGCAACCTACGCTCCGTTGAGTGATTCAGATTTGATCTTCCCTAGTTGGCTGACATATTTATCGATCGAGCCAAGTGGTAATGTGGGCTTACAAGACGATTCTCGCTCATGCGTGTAAGCGTTGCTGCTGCTCGACTACCGGCGCACAATTGATCGAGAGGCCACTTGCCAGTTCGTTCCGAATGCATGGGTGAATAGCAACAGCTGTCATTACAATGCTCATACCATACTTGAAGAGTCCAACTGGGGACAAAAAAACCCAACCCTCTTCTTCATCTGATCTCTTTTGCTTTGTCACTCGAGAGAACATAATTCACAAGAGCAGCAAGAGCTGTGGGGCTGTAAGGGAATTGCAAACCACACTTGTCTCCCCTCTTCACACTCCTTTGACTCCTCCATGCCTACATTACAGTCAAACCAAAAAGTGTGCGTTGCTGAGGTAATGTCAGCTGAACGTGGCCTATCCACCCTCATTCATGTTTCCTGTGTGGTCTTTTGCGTTCGGTCAGATTTCTTCCTTTTGGCTATCGTACAAACGTACCAGCCGGTAGAAAGGAACTGACCGATTCTTTTCCATACAAATTCATATTCACTTCCACAATTTTTTCAGCTTTCTTTTTACTCGGCTATCCACACAATAGTCACACCAACAACAGTGCAGATCGAGTCCGCCTCATTCATCCCAATACCAATGCACTCCCCTTCTGGTCGTATACAGAAGTCATGTACCGACGTAAAGCAAAAAAATGCAAAAATAAATCTATGCCTTCGCCTTTACCTACCCCTTATAATATAGAAAATGTGGTGGTGTAGAAAAGCTTGCTGCCAAAAAGGTGTAAGATTTATAGTGTTGCTCATCCCAACACAGGCACTCCAAGTCCAACGTTGAAGGTGTAAGCCTTTTTTTTGAAATTTTGTCTGTTCTTATTGCATGCTGTTCACCATTTACCTGGCTGACAAAAAGAAACACACTCGGGTTGGGCTAGAGCTAATGATCGGGATTCGGACTCTTCACCAAAGACAGCACAACTGAGAGATAATTCTCCCCAATCTAGGTTAACATGACGCGAACGGAATATCTGAAACACACGGGAACGTTGAGTCAGCGGATCGTCCCTGATAACATGGTTATTCTCTTTTTCCATGTGTTTAAACTATACCGTGAATATTTTGATAGAATTTGTTTGTAAAAACTAAAACATATAGAACGTGCTACGTCTCGGGAAAATGAACATCTTTCCAAAAACCATTAGATATCGAGCTGGACAAAAATGAACGATATATGTCAGCTACGTGGACTAATAAAAACAGTCGTAGTGGGATATACACACGACTACTGCTTCAGTTGCAACAGGCGCGCAGGTAACGATTGAAAAAATGAGATGGAAGGAACAGATAGGTTTCAGGGGACTTACATCTGCATCCCCGAGTCCTTCTCGGTACGTGACATAGTCGTCATCAGGAACGACGCTCTCGTTGGATACCAAAACAAGCTGAAGGCCGAAGTTACTGTTTTGGTGGGAAGAATGCAAGCCGACAAGGGACACTTCACATTGCACTACGATTGAGGATAGGTTGTTTGACGAACGAAAGTGGGCATCAATAGGCACAGTGAACTAAAAAGGACAGATCACACAGGGAACGGATGGGATGTAGGAGAAAACGGACAAAGAGATGAGAAATGAGCAATATTGTGCATTCGCAACCCCCCTATTAGTGGTCTAGTTCGTCATGTACGCCGGTCTTAAGGATTACAACTCTGGCTTGTGATCAGAGGACGCGGGGTTCGAATCTGTATAGGTGATGGGCTGACCCTCCTAGTATCCTTAGGCCACGTAAGATTGGTTGTGGCTGCGCGGCAGCAAAGTGTCGGTATTGCGTACCAACGTACTACTGAGACCTTAGTTTGTCATGTAAGGATAAGGGTGCTCAACTATTGGAGCAGCAAGGAGTATATACAACTAGGACTCGGCGTCCTGCGTGCTTAATGCTACTCATATTGTGAGCAAATCTGTAGCAACTTATTCAGGTGTTGCGGCCCCTTGACAATAACGGCAAGCGAGCGGTTACATGCGTACAACTCGAGTCTTCGGCGTATTATCGTTACGTAACAACGGATCCCAGGCCTGGTATAAGTGGGCCTTTAGAACACCATGGAACACTGCTGAAGGCGTCAGTCAATGTGGACTAAGGCCTGCAGTTAGCGGAATTATGTGGGGAAGACGTGAGTTGCTGTTTTTCTGATTTAACCGCTAGCAATCCACATAGGATTGAATCCGATTGCATTGGAAAAGCTCCATTCCACACCTATAGGTGACTTGACAAGCCAAACAACATGTCGCAACGTGCTAAGCTCAGACTCAGTAGGAAGGAGGAGGAGATGACGCAATGAACTGCCCGACCAGCGGTTGCCGAAAATAGAATCGACGGATTCCGTTTAGTATAGTTAGACTATCAGCAAGTTCGTGATGCATGACCAATTCTGGTTAAATCACTGCTGCTCCGGAGCAAGGATTTGTATATTCCACAGGAGCCGCATGAATACCTCGGATCCCATGACTTTGGAGACCACCAGAAGAAGTGGAATCAATGGATAATTCGCTAGTTATGCATGACCTCCAGCTAAAAGCGGTATTGCTGATTTCGTGCTTCCATATGGTGAATACCTGTATTTCATTGAGGCGTTGTTGCATGAAACAGGATAACGGCTCAGCTAGACTCGTGGCAACAACTTTGGATGAATGTCATCCGTGCTAAGGGAGCTGCGCTCGCTTTCGTACATCCCCGGCGGTAAAAGAAACGTGAGTAAGCTCTGTTGGTTGTATGATCTGGGAAAGAAAAGGTTTAAAGGACAGCATTTAACTCACCCGCAGCTCCACGTGTCCACCGGTGGAAAATGGCGTGTACAAGGCGCCGTACCCGCGGTAGGTGACCTGGAACCGATCTAAATTGTCACTGGAGTTCGGATCGATCCACTGCACTAATGTCCAATTCCAGTTTGCAAAATAATGGGGTCTCGTGGTGGAATCGTCCTGGTGAACGCTGTCATTGTATTCCGGCAGCTAAAACGAAGTAGACAGAGTCGTTTCTTCGGTGAGCGAACAGACATCCAACGTTGAAAACTAGATGGAATGGTCAAACTGAAATAGTTGATCCTGCTTTCTGCAGCTGATACCACTCGGAGACGGTTTAAACCAAATCGCGCAGTGTGAGAGACTAGTATCACTACTGCTATGTACCGCACATTCCGCAAGGACGGTTAATCCTATCCAATTGCAGTGAATTGAGTCGCAGATCTAACGCAGTCAATCAACAGACAGGTCGTTAAATGAGAGTGCCAATGTAGCACGTAACTATCGGATTGGGTAATCAGAGCCGTAGCGATTGGAAACAATTACGATGTGAAAGTCTTGGAAGACGCAAAAGCAGTAACAAAAAGTGACTAACAAGGTGGTACCCGGTACTTTAAGTTCGAGCAAATGTACGCCAAAGTGGGGAGACTTTAAAACCCGAAACCATGTAGTACGCGTCATCATCACGTTCGTTGGAGGTGGAAAACACCTCAGCTATTGTGCTGTAATACATTAGAAAAAAATAGGTGCAATGGCACGCCAACTGAGTGACCAGTAACGGATGGACATCGTTCCGGAGAGGTGACAGCCGGCTTTGTAGTACGTAAGTTGAATGTGAGTTTAAAAAAGCCTAAATAAATAAATCTAAAGCTCAAAACGTGGAAAGATTCGGCTATTAACTGGACCACCCATCGGTTACATATGGGTTTGCTATGATTTCTATGCGTCATCAACTTTACTCATAAGGAGTGGAAGTCCGGCGTAACGCATGTAAACACAAACGCAAAAATGATGAGCATATCAACTAAATGCTATGAGGCACAGTAGCAACAAGACAAAAGGGGGTGGTGTCCAGGAAACGCCAACTACCGAAGCTGAATGTGGATCATGTTACAACTCCTCAGGTTTGCCATACTCATCATGGCCAGGGCACACCAACCCGGAAGTCGCGAAAGATAGACCGAAGCTATTTTGGGGACGAGAACCTGCTATCCTCAGCGCTGATGTATCGATTGGGGTCAAGCACGCTACATTCTCAATGTCCACTCGTAAGCATATAGAAGCAAAGACAAACGTATGTACTTAGGCAACGGGTCAACAAATAGTGTTGGTCAATAGACGCAACCATTTAGGGCTTTTCGAGCAGTGGAACCAGGGCCGCAAGGAGTGTGTCGATGTGGGAAACCATGGTCCACAAGATAAGCGTGCAACTATGAGAACATCCAAGACCATACAATGCGCAAAATGAGTATCAGCGCAAAAGGAGATGAGCATAGTCAAATGTTGGTTATTTCTGGATTGGTGAGCAGACTCACGTTCAGAAAAACCAGTCCATATGACTGCACAGCGTGGGGAACAGTTAACCCCTGCCTCAGCTTCATTTTAAGAGATTTGAGTTGTTCCAAATTGATTGTGGCATTTGATGATGCCGAGGAACTGCAAACGACGAGTAATGTTGGAGATATGCGCTCCCCAGCTTCTATGAACACATGCACCGAGTAAGAGTCGTTCCATGCTTTGAACTCCGTGAGACCGTGCATGGGACATGAGCCACCACAATAACGATGCTCTTTGATCTCAAACTACAGAGATATAATAACGCAATAACAGTGACTCACCTGCCACGCTGCGCCTATGTGCACCTGCAGTGATGCAAGCATCAGCAGAGGCAGTAAGAGCAGACAGGTCATGCTGTAAACCTATAGTCGGTAGACGTTCTTAGCTTCAACGGGGAAGCGGAAGGAGCTAAAATAAGAAAAGTTCAGCACAGTTGCTTTACGAGGAAGCCAGAATCCAAGTGCTGTGAGTCAGTTTATGTGACTCGCAGCATCATTAAAGTAAAAACTGACGAAGGCAATTAATGGCTACAAGTGTTGCCAACACCCCTAAGAGTAAAAACCGGAAAGTTTAGAGCAAGTGTTCGCAACTTGAATGTGCAATATTCCGCAATTTTGGACAAAGGAAATTTTAAGTACAGTAGACCATGAAATCCACCGGACACAAATATCGCCGTTTTATCACATCAAATCTCGAATCTGTTTCTACAAAGCGTATATATTACCGAAAAAGAACAGTTTAGTGTCATAATGAACCCAGAAAAGTCCAGCGAAAAACATACGGTAATTGGAGGGTCAAGTTTGGACTACACGTTGTGTGATTGGATTGCGAAACGCAACCTCAATGTAATGGACTGTGATTCACACTGAAACGGTAATTCCCCAAGAATGATACATAAAGGGCGTTATGCCGAGCATACGTTTACACTCAACGTAGTTCTGGTTACATGAAATAGGGTTGAACCTGTGCTTCATCATCCCATACTGCTAACAAAGGAATCTGCATGTCTTTGGATACTAAACGTTTGACATGTGTGTAGAAACGAAAAGCACTATTACGAAGTTTGCAACGAAAATTACTATTTTTGATCTGGAAAAGGCTTCTAACACAATAAAGCCAGCTGACAAACCTACTAGTAATAGGCGTTTGATCTTACAAGACATTAACATGTTCGGGATATTGCAATTCATAACTAAGGCATTCGAGGTAGGTATCGGTAGCGCGACAGGAACAGGCAAAGGTATCCAGGCAAAATGAATATCCACATAGCAAAACTGGCCAACATCTCCTTGTGCTTGTACTCGGTCTGAACATCTGCTGCGCCGACAGGTCGGAAAATCAGCGTAGAATCTGGACTGTCTTGCACTAGAAGTAGCGATCTCGTCTCGTAATCTTGCGGCGCGGGTTCGAATCCGCGTAGGAGTGGGCGTCCTCGAGGTATGATCAGCCCGAGTGAGACTGGTGGTGGTCGCACAGTAGAGAAGCGCCGTTACGGCGTACAGCTGACACTTTTTTTTCTCACACATACGCACATGCATGCAAGCGGAGTTAGGGCTCTTACTCCTCTAAGTTCCCTATGTGTTCGCAGGTGAATGTAATATTATTACCTGTCCCCTCAAGAAAACTGTTTCTCGTATCAATGAAATAAACGGTTTAGTTATTTGTTCTCAACATGCTCTCTATTGGTTACGATTTTTGTTTATACCAAGAGGTACTCCAGTTAACATGTGCACGTGGCCTTCAGGTCTCCGACCAGGAAGTCATTACCGCTCTATGACAACCAACCAGTAGATTGACCAATGTTAGTTAATTTTTAAATCCGTGGACAAACGAGCTATTGTAACGCATACAAAATACTACATTGATCCGAAAGCATAAGCGAGGCAACCATTTCAGTAAAATTGCTTCGTGTGATGGATAGTCGTGTGACTGAGGACTGGTAGCACCGAATTCCCTCTCAGTTATACACAATGCTTCTTGGTTTGCGATACTTCTCTGATGGGGTTAGTCGGGATCTTTGACATTTAAGATGGAACAATTTCTCCAGCTAGATTGAATTGCGTCTGGCACTTTTCAAAGATGGAAGCCCATCCTTGAATTGTGAAGTCAAGTTCTTGCTGCGGGGAGTGTGGGGTCATAGAATTCAGCGCTATTTAATAAAATACAAGCGGATTTCGTGTCCGTATCTAAATAGAACAGGCCGATCAATCTGCCACCGATTTCCATTCCTTAGAGACAACGGAACAGCCGAATCATAGTGCTTTGAAGTAGTTGGTGATAGGAAATATGACGAATGCTCAGTGGTTCCCGAAATGCCTAATAACCATATCAAAATAAAGGAAAATGACGGTTGCCGATTCAAAAGCATCTTTTCAGTCCACCACAACGATTGGGATTGTTTAAACAACGAAAGTGTACTCCGACATCTTCCGGGGTAAGTGTGCTATCAATGTTCTGGGAAGCTACTTGTGGCAATAAGCAATTGATAAACAGAACGCACGTACATTCCGAAGTGTTTGACCCATTGTCCAGGATGGTGAATCAGAGAGTGGGTAAAGTGCCCACATTTCTCATGGTTGGTAGCACAAGTAGATGTCCCAATAAGGATGAATAACACTCGGCAGCTCACACTAGCGCTGGCATGCTCCGTATATGTTTAGTACTTCTCACCCGGTGTTCCCATCAAGCATAGAGAATGCTACATAAGCAGCGATTTTTAAAGACGATCAGCGATTTAATGCCTAAACATGGACATATGCCAGAGTAGAGTCACGAGTACCGTAGACATACTGGCGTTATGTGCCGTACATACGAAGGCGCATTCCCAATCGTATGAGGACTCCGTCCTGCTCGCTATACTTGTTTGGGAAGATTTGCTTGCCAAATAAAAAAGCATTATATATATATATATATATATATATATATATATATATATATATATATATATATATATATATATATATACGTCAGTGGGCGATCTTCATATGTTTCTTCTTTAACCGGTATTGACGCAGTCATGGAAACTGCGGCCTACAACGTGTGGGACTGCTTCCAGGTGATTGACTTATTGGCTTGGAGTGCGCCGACGAAATAGTGCGTATCTGTGAGAGCTCCCAAATGTACCAAGCAGCACTAGACAAATTAGTACTGTTTTGGGTTATACTTTGCACCCTCGAAAACCTAAGTCCTTCAAGATTGGCAGGGACCTACTCCTGCGCTGTCTCTTGGTGGTGATCAGTTGGAAGTAGTTAAGTAATGCTAGTACCTGGGCATTTATACTAGCGCCTGTGGAATAGATGAGATTACAAACCTTATAGCGAAGACCTGAGATGCTTTTGCCAATCGCTGACGCCTGTGGCGCCGGTGCGACATCACTTCACTCTGAAGGGCAGAGTGCATGACCCAACCGTCCGTTGAATGCTCCAGTGCGGTTGCGAAAATTGGCCTATCGGATCAACAAACCTAAAAAAGCTCGTTACATTCGAGCATCGCTGTCTTCGCAGCTTAGCTCATATCTGCTGGGAACACCGCGTGTATCATGAGCATGTTCGGCGTCTTGTGTTTGGAGTAGGAAAAGCGAGTGAACCGCTCAGCACCGTTACATCACGCACCGGGCTCCGATGGTTGGGCCACATGTTGCGCATGTCAACACACTGACTCCATCGACGTGCGTTTGCGCTGCTAGGATGTGGATGGAAAAGTGGGGAGGCTAGTCAGTGACTTGGCCAATAAAAATGGCACACCTCATTTCAAACCTTTCATCGGTTGGTGTGTCCCAACTGTCTGGGTTAGTAGCTGGATGACGATGCACATGTCTGGCTGCATGCACTTGTTGACATGAGGAAGAGCTGACCTCAGTGGCGGTCGTTGGACCCACCCTCTTCTGCTTTTCCTACCCCTACAACCGTGATATCATTCCCGAGGTCTTAGCTCCCGATAAGCTTCACATTACTTTCTTTTTATTTTTTAACTTCTAAAATTTTTGCATCTTGATTTTTATTTATTATTTTACATGGCAGCACTAACAGATGAAGTGTGTTTCTCACCTTCAGTTTACCTGTAGTGATGATGATGACTGTGAGCTTCGCCTTGGAAAACGGCCACTTAGCATGTATTATGCAAGTGTAATCATCTCTCACGCTCGAGCACTGACTTCAGACATACGAAGGGACGTTCTTCGACTTGGTGCCTCCATGAACAAATTCATAGTGTCAAATCGTTTATGTAGTTAGCAGCTTCAGTCGATGCGGCCGGTGTAAAAATCTGCAATTCATGTTATCCGCTTTTACGCAGATCACAAACCGGCTTGTTCGGACACCTGCATGCTTCACAGGACCCCCGAAAACGATTCACCATAATACCGATGTAAACCAGTTAGTTGAGCCATTAGTGCTGACTGGCTGATGCACTCAGCTGCGAACCACGGCAAGGTATCGAGCAGCACCGCCTCCATACAGAAAGCGGAGAGCTATTGTTCGGTATCGTTTGGAATTTGAAAGTATAGATCTCTGATCGCTCCCTGCATCTGCTTGACCACCACCTAATTATTCTTGCGGAGTCAACTCAGGGTAAACTTTGCCGTTCCACTTGTCGCAGTCCAATCAATGTGGACGTAAAGGGACGTTCGACCATCGATATGCTCGCAGTCTGGCGCATATCTGATGCGAACACCTTGTGAGCATGTTGGCGTCTTGCGATTGATATACGAACAGCGAAAGTGAACCACTCAGCACCATTATTTCACGCACCAAGTTCCGATGGTTAGGTCACATGTTGCGCATGCAAGTACACGGACTCCCGCGACGTGTGTTGTTTGCTCGTCTGAGGTGTGGATGGAAAAAGCGGGAAGTCAAAGGATGATTGGGTCAGAAGGCTGTCCTCGGTTGGAGTCTCGGCCCCCTGGTTGAGGCCAGAAAAACGATGAACACGCTTGGAGCCGACATCACTAGCGTTCCTGTTGCGCGTTTCTTCATCCCTCCCTCTCCAACCACGAGTTCATTTCTGATGCACAGGGGCCGGCAGCTAGTTCTCCGGATCGATGCCCATCCGTTATTGGTGGCTCAACTGGCGTGGCTCCGTTGCATGCTTGGTTATTACCTCATGTAATGCGCACAATAGCTGAGGTGTTTACCATCTCTAGCTAACGTGTTTAAGGATTAATAATGATACGCTGGGACCGTGAGGCCTAGTGATCCCGTCTGCTTCGGAGATGCAGACCATTGTCCTCTCTTGAAACACCCACATGCCACTTCAACTCTTACCCCAACGGCCATAGGAAGTCTGGTGTCAGTGAAACTATTTACGAGGTAGTAGTGCCGCAACTCACTAACTTGCAAGGGCGAGTGGTATTATTATTACTATTAGGATTACTATTATCAGCATCATCATAGAGACGCGTGTCATGTCAATTAGATCAAGTACACTTTGGTGTACACCTCATAGTCGAGAAACGGAACAAATTCGACCTCTCCGTTCGCCTGTATGCCTAGTATAACCGATTGCCTCTCATAGGTCATCGCACTAAGTCCACTGAGCGAAGCCTTAGTCTACCTTGAGATTCAAGTTCGCTGACTCATACAGACTCCCGCAGCGGTTCAAGCATAGCGGCGTAGTAATCTTTAGCCAACTGGCCTCATTGCGGCTTAAAGCCTGGCATGAAGCAAAGGAACTTTTGCTTGGAA